AGAAAGAAGTGTTCCTGCTGATTGATATTTCACTGAAGAAGAAGAAAAAAAAGAAAAGAAAAGTGATATTTTTCTTTTAATGAAAAATTAATCTTCATTCATGTCATGTAACTAACCTGATAATAATCATTGTCATCATTGATATTCACATGTGATGAAAAGAATTTTAATTATGATTGATGTTGACAGATATAAGTAGTATATATCATTAATTAAAAGTGAAATACTCTGATATCAGAAGATTAAGAAGATCTAAGAGAAGAGAATGAAAATAAAAGGTGATTAGTGTGGAAACAAACGAATAATCAAGTTTGAAACAATTGATTGACATTTTACAAATGAATTATTTATTGGAGTGTTGTCGGATCGACTCATGAATTCAACTATTAAAATTATTATAATCTCTACAAATTCCTATACTGATAATGATCATGTACTCACTAGTGAATAGATTCAAGATGGATTTTTTAGAGTTCTAGTGAGAAGCCGTGACTAGTGGAGTTCAATCCATGTCGAATATGAGACAGTTATCTACCTCTGGCAATCAATGAACTGTTGCATATGATCATGAATCAATTGAAGTTGGACATCAACACCGTTGAATGACGGCTCAGTAGTCTAGATATTATTCGTACACACGGGATACCTAAAGTTCAGTGCTCCAGTTCCTTTAGTGTGAGATGGTGGACGTGCACTACTGAGCAGATTGATACTAGAACTAAACAGTCATTTAGTGTTTCCAGATTTCTAATGTTATTCTAACATAGATCAGTTGTTCATGATTTCAATTAAAATTCAACAATCTCCACAACACTATACTAATAAAATATGATTGATTTCACAATTAATCTTCTCTTTCTATTATGTTATATCCATTTTTAATTATCAATGTTTCAACTACCATCTAAATATCAATACATAGTGCCCGCAGTGTCGAGTCACCTAGACTAGTGGCCACATTGCAACATGATCGATAGCATTCGATCTGCACTAATAAGGACTAGACAAGCATGACATTGATCACCACCCAGTGATCAATCAATTGTGATGTTTAAACTACAGATATTTAGCCATTCATTATTATTTTCTTATTACCTCTTTATTCGATTATATAATGAACAGATTTTAATACTAATTTTTATACAATCAAATGAATCTAGTAAATTAAATGAGACTTTTTCTTGAATACTTCTGTTTTTAATGATAATTTGATATTTCAATTAATTCATTGGTTTAATCTTAAATGAGATCAGTTTCTCTGGATCAATTGATCAGTCTTTTTTAACTTTGTCAATGTTAAAAAAAAGTTGATTAGAATGAGTGTGTACGTGTATCATACTGTGGTGTTTGCTACTGATGTAGTAGTATGTATTATCACTCGAAAGTGAAATACTTGACAGCAGAAGGTTAAGAAGATCGAAGATATGTGAACGAGAACAGAAGGTGATTGGTGTAGAAACAATGGATTAATGAAGTGTGAGACAATTGATTGATATTTTATAAATGAAGTATTTACTGTGTAGTTCTTAGATTTGACTAGGGCATTCTGTAATTCCGTATTCGAATATATTTGATTGTCTCATTTGTTCATTCTCGTTCATTACACTATATGATAATACGGAATATATTGTTAAGTTAAAAAGAATTTTGACTAACATAAAAGTACGCTTCTGAGAAAAAAAGGTATTAAAATGTAATTAAAAGCGACTTTTATTATGATTGGGAATATTCCATTCATGTACATTGAAAGTGTATGTCACTAATTTGTAAATTAGGCAGAATTAGTGATCATTATGAATCGTCACCTGATTCCCATATTATGTTTCTATAAATAAATATGAGAGTAATAGAATTTGTAGTAGCGCAAGTGAAAAATAATGGTAAAACTTAGAAAATGAATAGAAATATATGATTTAATAGTTGAGATCATGAGTTGATTGAATCTAGACCACGATGGAAAACCTGGAAGCACTTGACAACCGTTTTATCTTTATCAGTGCGTATCCACCATCTTGCCCTGCACGATTCGAACCCAGGACCTATCGGTCTCGCAAACGAACGTTTAACCTCCAGACCACTGGGTCGGCCGGCATCCAATGGTGTTAATGTCTAACTTCATCTAATGAATTTATGTAAATGGTGACAGAAAATAGTTTGAAACTGTAGTTTCAAGAATAGAAAATGAATAAATATATTTAGTATAATGTAACCGATTTTGAGGCATTTATTCGATGTCTTAAACTAATGGTCAGTAAAATTACATGAACTTCAACCAGATAGTCTGTAACTAAAAGAAAACAAGGCCTAGACATGGATGACAATGACTTCATGACCTACTGCCCTGTTTAGGATTGCTAGCTTCTAGGTTTGGTCCAACGTACTCCTACTTAAAACAACATTGTTTGTTGAGGAAGGGAGTGGTTGACCATACATTATATATATATATATATATATATTTCAATGACCCCAACCAATGACATTTCATAATATTACCAACTGATTACCCATCTTTGCCTACTTTGCGTCTAACAATATTATTTGTTTGGTTGTCCTAGCATAAATGTTCAAAGTCTTGAAGGCATCTATGATTATATATAAATATTGGTAACCTACGAATGTCCTCTACTTCTGAAGTCTTTATCTCCAGAATTATAAATTAGATCAAAGTGGAGATCATTTTCTGTGTACAGAATCAAACTAAGGATATTCATCTCTAATGATAAATAACACACTCCCAACACTAACTAATCCACGATAAAAATCTATTCTTGACTTTGCCATAAAATTGCAAAATGAATCTATTCATTGTAATAATTATGGCATCATTTCATCCACAAACTGATTATTACTATTACTAAATTACTGTACTATCCAAAATACCCTTTCTGATATTAATCAACATATACTCACTAGTGACTGGCTTCAAGAGATATTTCCTGGAGTTCTAGGGAAAAGTGTGGTGGACCAAAAATATATTAACTCAAAAATAGCAATAAAGTTATTATGTCCAAATGTTAATGTTATATCAATTATAAGTTATAAACACAAATAAAAGTTAAGAAACATTACTTTAATCGGAAGGTTTGCACGTGTTCGGGTTGCGTTTGTTACCAGAATCCACAATGATAAATAATTAGTAATTCCGATGAGGTTGTTATGGTTCCAGTAATATAGCTAGACGTAGTATATAATGTAAATGTGGCTGCAGTCTACAAATATAGATAATGAATATTTCACAGTTATCATAACCATAGGCAATGGAGAACGATAGACGTGTGTATAGTAGTGTATTTATGAGCAATTAACAGCTTGTGTTATGCTATGAGAGTCATATGAAGGAAGAATGTGTTCAAGGTCATGCATTAGAACAACATGGACAAACATTTTTTGGTATATGTACAAAGTGTGAAAATTAACGAAATAAATGCAAATAATATCAAAAAAATATTTACAAAATATGTCTGTCATACTTATCTCCACAGAAGCAGTGACCAGTGGAGTTCAACAGGGTCTGTTGCAAGATAGAAACTCGCCGAAAACAATCGTGTACGTGTCTCTCAATTCCGTAGATTAGTTGAATTTAGACATTAACACAGTTGGACACCGGCCAGACCAGTAGTCTGGAGGTTAAGCGTTTGCGTGCAAAACCAATGGGTCATGTATTGAATCTCGCGAGCCGGGATCGTGGATGTGCACTGCCGAGGAGACCCACAATAAGACGAAACGGCCGTCCAGCGCTTCCAGGTTTTTCGTGGTAGTCTAGTTTCAATTGCCTCATGATCTCAACTATAAAAAATTATTTACTTCGAAAGTGTTGACCAAGTTTTAGAAATGTTTTTTTAACCTCATTACTTCTACTGTAATATTATAGGATTGTATTAAAAATGTTTAGGAACATTTTAAGCTACTTAAACATAATTTCAACTAAATTTCCCCATCAGTAAAATATCTATGAATTATAGAACTTTATTGCTTAAATGAACACGGTTATTTTCATAAATGAACCATAATTTGGTAGTTCAATTGCAAATCATCTCTAAGACCTTCCTGTTTGACAATTTGCTAGAGAACTTTTTACGTTAAACAATTCCTCAGTATGAGATTGTGGGAATCGTTAAGTTTTTTTATTGAGATCGTGAATCGATCAATGTTTGTTTTGTCTTAAGGCAAAGGAACAGATAATAAATGGAGCATATTTCAAACTAATTGAATACCTATACTCGAAATACGATAGAGCACAAGTTGTTTATGATTTTATGTGAACTAGATACCATCAAATCAATCAGATAGAATTCAATTATTCACAATTCCAACATCAGTCTATCACAAATACATTCACTTCGAATTGAAATGATCTCTATCACTTAACTAACTAAACAACAATCATGTGTTCACAACTTATTGATTTCTAGATGAACTCTAAACCATTACGATGAAATAAAATCTTATACCTGGTAGTGATAGATTATATGCTAACTGTGTTAAAACAGACTATACACAAACATGAATAGTGTAATGATGGCTATTTGTTGGAAGAGGAACTCAAACCTAGGACCTCAGGTCTCACGCCCGTTTGCCCGTCGAAAAGTATCGATATCTAAGTACAACTTACACAATCCTTCATCCATCATCTAAGGTAAATAATTGTCTCATATCTGACATGGATTAGCTCCACTAGTCATAGCTTCTTACTAGAATTCCAGCAATTAACTCCTGAAACTAGTTACTAATAAACCACATGGTAATCATCAGTATGAGATTGCTGGAATTTCTTATCCAATTGTTACTTTTTAAAAAACAAAAAAACAAATCGATTATGTAATCATTAAAGGTTAAATATAAATCAATAGAATGAACTATGTAAAGTAAGATCAAATTCATTTAAAAGAAATCAATAATAGTATATCTGTATAAAAGTACAAAAACACTAAACAATCTATATTATTAATAATAAAAGAGAATTTCTTTTTTATAAAAAGAAAACAACCATGAAAATGAGTTTAAAGTGACTTTTTATGCCGTTTATCATGGATCACAGTTTGAGTTGTGTATTGTGATGGTTGTTGTTGTTGATTTTCTTCATTTATTTCATTCAATATAATATTTGTATTATTTATATTTCTTAATGATCTATTATTATTAGTCATTTCATATGGCATTGATATTGATATTGAAGGTAATACTGATGGAGGTGTAAATGACGACGACGATGGTGATGATGTTGTAATCGGTATTTGATGTTTAGATAATTTTGATTTAGTTTGTTTTTTTAATTTTAACATTAATTCACGATTACGTTGTAATAAAATATTTACAAATTCATCATTAAATTCTGTTTGTTGTTCTATTATATTTGGTAATATTGATTTACGTTTAGCATTTCTTATGATCATTGTTTCAGTTAATGAATTCATTTGTTGTGGATCAATATTATTATTATTATTATTATTATTGATTGATTGATTGATTCTATCTCTATCCCCTAATTGATTATTTATGATAGATGAGTTTCTATGTTGAAGTAATTGTTTTATTCTTTCATATTGTTCATTATTATTACTATGACTATTATTATTATTATTATTATTATTATTATTATTATTATTATTATTATTATTATCAATCATATCATCTGGATAAGTATTCAGTATATCATTAACGGAATAGTTACTAGCCCTTGTATCATTATTATTATTATTATTATTATTATTATGAATAGTGATATAATGATTATTGTTCGGTGTTAATTGATTCATTAAATATTTATGTATAATAGATTCTGGTAAATCCGTTAATAAACATTTCGATTGTATTGGACGTATAGTGGCATAATGTAAACGTAATGAAATTTTCTCATAAATTTTAAATAATTTCTCATTATAATATTCTGGATTATTTTGTAATATACGTCGAATATATTTCTCATCAATATGTTTAATAAAATCTCTTAATACATTACGACGTTTACAATTAATAATTAATTCAATACCAGTTAATAATTCATCAATAATACTATCGTTTAATGATTGAAATAAACTAATAATCTTTTTATGTTCCATACGTATATGTAATAGTTTTACTAATGGTTTCATGGTAATACCCATAATACCCACAGTAAATAAGATAATAAATAATGTCGTAGTAACAAGTAAACTTTGATTGTCATCACCATTTTTACCTAATATATTAGATGGTATTAATATAGCTAATGAAAATGCAATTGCACCACGTAAACCACCATAAATTAATACAATTTGTTCTTTAATTGTAATTTTAATATCATCTATATTAATAATATTTACAATAGATGTCATAATTAATACAATAATACAACGGGCTATTATACATATGAATAATGACCATAATATATAACCTGTATGCCATTTTAATGTTTCACTAATAATAGATATACCTAAGAATAAAAATATAACAGATTCACTAATTTCTGCAATAACTCTTACAAAATTATGTACTGTAATACGTGTTTGTGAATCAACATTATGAAATGCATATGCTGTTTGAATTAAACCACAAGCAATCATTGAGATAATCCCAGACCAACCAACACAATTTGCCATAATATAAGAAAAATAGGCTAATAATAATATTGTAAATACAGCTAAATGACTACGTATTCTTGTAATTAAACATGTTATAATACCAAATATAACACCAATCAGTAGACCACCAAAACTAACAGTAAAAAATGATGCAATCCCAATCCCAATCTCTTTACCAGTAACAATCTCTTTACCAGTAAATGCAATCATAATTTCATATAATACAACAGTAATAGCATCATTTAATAATGATTCACCAAATACAATATAATATAAATTTAATTCTAATCCAATATCTTGAAAGATAGCTAAGACAGCAACAGGATCTATAGCAACAATTAATGAACTAAATAATAAAAAACTACTTAAATCTAATGTAATCTCTGGATAACCTAATGCACCACCAATATATAAACCATACATAATAAAACCAATAATTAAAAAATTAAATATTGTACCAAGTACAGCAAATAACATAACAGTACCAAGATATTCAGAAAATGTACGATTATATAAACCATATGCAGATTCTAATATAATTGGTGGTAATAAATAATTAAAAAATATTTCCGGTGTAAATTTCCATGATATAATTTTAATAGAACCTTGATCAATACCATAACGTACTATTACACCAAATAGAATACCAATAATAATAAGTATAAGTGATTCTGGTACATAAGATGATATATATGGTATATGATGATATGCAATTTTAATAAATACTACTGATAATAAAAATAACATCACAGTAATATGTACTTCATATTCATTAAATTTCCATTTGACTACAGATATCTCTTCATTATTTGATGCATTCATATCATTGATAAATGTGAATAATAATAATAAGAATAAAAAGATCATAGATATAGATAAATGATTATTCATAATAGATCTACATTTATTTCTCAATATGATCATAATGATATGGATGTTTTTTTTTGTATTATTCAAACTAATATGGACTGTTACAAATTGTAACTCAATCTTCTCTCTCTCTATATATAAATATCCATTCAATGATAGTTATTAATTCATTATATATCTATATCTATCTATATATATATATGTGTATAATATTGATTTAATCAGAGGAGTTTTTGAGTATATTCAATTGTTATTAGTTTTGTATCTATCCATCTATCTATCAATCTTGATCAAGATATTCAAATACATTGAACATTTAATACAAAACTTTGTTTTAATCATGTATATATATTGGGTTGAGGCAATAAATTCGAAATAATTTTCTTTTTAATCATAATGAAATATTCAATTTTACTGATGTTACCATGTGATGTCCTACATTATATTTAGTTGAATTGAAATTTCTGTTATGAAATGGTTGTTACCTAAATTAATTTTTTTTTCAAATTATTTTTGACAATGTTCAACATACAATTTATCCCTTTTCATAGTGACAATTATAATTTGTAATAAACAAAATCATACAAACCAACTAATTAACTAACTACCTACCTACCTAACTAACTAACTAACTAAACATGTTCATATCTATCACTACGGTATTAAATTAGTACTCAATTTATTTTTTTTTTTTTTCATTGTATTTTAGTACAATTATAAAATGATAATGATTCTATTTATAAATGAACATTTATCAGTTTTATTTAGTGTGACATTTGAACTTAAATAGTTATTATAAGAATGGGTTTTGTGAAGATTTTTAGAAATTTCACTGGTTGAAATCATGAGTCAATTGAAGCTAGATCATCATAGAAAACCTGGAAGTACAGAACGGCCGATCCTGTGTTAGATCCTAGGTTCAAAACGTGCGGGGAAGGATCGTGGATGTGCATTTCTGTGAAGTCCCATACTAAGACGAAACGGTCGTCCAGTGTTTTCAGGTTTTCCATGATGGTCTAGTTTCAATTGACTCATGATCTCAACTGTTGAATCACTAAAATATTTACAAAATCCCCTCCTCTGATAATAAATAATATTTCTGACATTCAAATAATTAATTAAGTGGATTCATAATCTTCAAATTATTCAAGGTGGTTATGTTTTATGGAGTTAAGTAAGTCGGATAATGCCAAAAAATGGAAGGTTTATCAATGTTGTTTGATGTCGATCCGACTACAAAATAAATTTCAACAGTTGAGATCATGAGTGAATTGAAGCTAGACCACTATGGAAAACCCGAAAACACTGGACGACCGTTTCGTCTTAGTATGAGACTTCACAGAAGTGCGTATCCACGATCCTTCTTCGCAAGTTTTGAACCTAGGATCTAACACAGGATCGGCCGTTCAGTGCTTCCAGGTTTCCCATAATGGTCTAGCTCTAATTAACTCATGAATTCAACTTTTATACTAGTTGTCACCATATAGTATTTACACTGAAGCGTATTTTAAAAATATCATCTAACACTTCGGTAAAGTTCACCGGTGAGTTATGTATTTATATTCAATAATTTTGATGTTTGATTATATTTTCCTAAAATTGTTTGGATCAGATCAATCATTGAGATTTTTACAAATGTAATTTCGATTTTTGGTTTCCAACTTTTATTGTGCCTCATTTACATTACTGATTTTTGTCTTCCCCTTTATAGTTTTAACAAAACTCCAGGAGCTTGTTGTTATAAATAACTTTTATATATCCATTTCAGGAATTATTCATCTTTGATTGTACACAGACGTAGGAAACACTGTAGGTATCTTACGAATTGTAGATGGTAAATGTATTCAATATATTTTCCTAATAATGATGTAGTACTACAGATAAATCCCGAACTTTTATCGCTAGTTACTAGGTGTCACTTAACTAAGTAACCACAACTTTGGATAAAAATCAGAGATCAATTTTATCTGTCGACATCTCGATAATGAACGCTTTCATGACGTTAATTGTGTTTGTCTTTTATTGTCATTTCTTTCCCAAACGATCACATTTTTGTATATTAACCATGTTACTTATTGATAAACAGTAGTTGAAAATTATAAAGAACAAATGTACAAGGTCATCACACGTATTTTCATACGTTATACCTCTTCAGTACAAAATAGATCAGGTATGATGTCACAGATATTGAATCAGAATCTTATGTTCAGAGGACAATGTGGATAATGAAATTAATGAATTAAAGAATATACTATGAAATGACGGTTATCCTGATAATTTAGTCAAAAAATACATGTCAGAAAAGATTAATATGACAAATTTCGATACATTCAGCAAGAAAACTCTTTTTAACTGGAGTATGATTTTAAAGGGGATATACGGGGTGAAAATTAAAATAGTGTCGGAAGAACATTCAACGTCGTTAGGTTGCGTAAGATCTTCACAAATAAACCAGTACTTACACGACAAATAAGGGAGAGATAATCGATGACAGGCATCTCCATATGTGTGTATCAGTTCAACTGTTCCTGCAGAGCTAGTTACATATACAATACTTTCAGGGCTTTATTTTTGACTGTTTTTCAACACTTACCAGCTTGGTTGGCAAAAGAAGTTAAGAAATCTATTCACAACCCCATGTTTTCTCGCTTAGTGTGTAGTGAACGTTATACTAAAATAGATTAATTTATCTTTGTTTTATTTCATGTCCCAAGCTATCTACTAAAAAGCGAAGGCTTACAATTCTATGTGGTTGAAATCATCGGGATCGACTCCTGAACACTAAGCTTATGTATCCGAAAGTGGTATTTTCATCCTCTTTGTTTACTTTAGTCCGCAAATGAATCACCATATACTCAAGGGAGACATTGTAAACCACTCACCTCCACCCTCTCCCATTCTTATTTTACACACTTATCTTTCACAATCTTCATAAACGTCTTATCACACTTATCTTAGCAGCGCATCTTGTATTACATATTATACTCACGCGTCTTTATTATGATCATTATTATCACCATAATAATAATTATTATTGCTAACATGGTTATTATTATCTCCGTAAACTAGACATAATTTCACATGGTTTACATTATTTGACACCATATAACGAATCAGTCTGACCTTAAGTAAATGATCTTTTTAATTTAGAGATGATACGATTTTGAAGCATTCATGCCGAGGTTGATGGATAAATTCAGTACTTTATTTACATGTCATAACGTCTAGATCACATATACATCACTTACTTTGACCTTTATAACCCAATACACTAACTATAGACTTATAACCGTAGAGAAGGATGTCGAAATTATTGAAAATAGTTGTTCGCCCTAATACTTTTTTGTAATCGATAGTTTGTCAATCATTTTTGAGAGTGTAGTATATAACACCTTTTTGTTGTTGTATCCTATTTCAGAGTATTTTATAATCCCAATGATGTTTAACTTATTCATTCTTGTAATTATATCTTCCTAATAGTAATTGATAATTTATTCCATTACTGATGTTCTCATGAAATAGTTTCAATATTTTATGCACGACTTATCATATGTTTTTACACTTAGTTCCTATATATCAGTTGTAGGAGATAGTTCTTCTATCATGACATATTGATATGGTAAACTCTTTAAACACCATGCACATGAAATTTTTATAGTTACATTACTTATAATTGATAAGTCTTGTTGATTGAATGTTATATTTGTCTACTAAGCTATTCTGTAACACCCAAGCTAGAACTGCACAGCGACCTGAACACGAGAGAGAAGACACAAAGTATGCGAGAAATAGTTTACTCCAAGGTTCATTTTAATGCAGAAAATACAGGGTTTTTATAATATTTTAAATGTTCTTGAGTTGCCATAAGATTCTGGAATGCTACTAAACATAGTAGCAGTGTAGCAGCCAGCAAATCAAAGCCTCTGCATATGACGTTTCACTTCTTTGATATTTTTGGCTAAGACTTCAAGTGGACGCTGAATGGATGAAACGCTTCTTAGTGTTTCCTGATGCTTGCTTGTCTTTTGCAGGCAATTTTCTGGATCACCCAAACAATAATAATGTGAGTATTACAACTATCGTACAGAATAACAGATTTATCTGACTTAATTACACGTCAATCCAACCATCGCTAATAATTCCTTTGTTAATATATTCAGTTATCCCTTCAAAGTTTTGAAACGTCTTCATTAAATAATATTGATTAGAAGATACTATTACATAACGATTTCAGAACGATTATCAAGCTGTTTACTATTAACGTGTTGATGAGTTAATTCACAACAAAATCATGTCACGCATTATATAGATAAACATGATTCCATTTATTACTGGTTCACAAGTGTTTACATTGAAAAGCAAAATTCATGTTAGATGTTTATTAAACATTGAATCAACAACGTACTGAATATTCATAACAATTCTGTCATTCAAAATATCCTTCATTTCTAGATAACTCACTCATCTACTCATGAGTAGTTGCTAATAAAACTTGAAAAGTTTAGATAAACAATTAAAAATCAAAATATTTTATCTCGCTTTAGGATTTATCAATGAATCCTTGAACTGTTGTAATATTGTCATTTACTTTTAACGTTACAGAGATCATAATTTCATTATGCATAGAATGTATTGAAGTGAAGTTTATTGAGAAATTAGGATTCTAAAGATCTTTAAGTTCAGTTGCCCTATTGTAGAAGCTTAACTTTTGGTGTAGTTCTCCTTCTTTTAAATTAAAAGTGAATTGTTACATCTAAAATGATGATAAAAACTTTACGCGGAAGCATTATTTTAGCGGAATTGTGTTCATTGTGCTAAATAATTTCAACCAGAAATCAATTGTCATGTTGAAATCGATCTGGTTTATCGACCGATTAAAAAAGTCATGTATAATCATATAACTAAAGATCAGTTCACAAGGGGAGGATAGACAGCCTAAACGAATTTGCTGACAATTATGAGACAAAA